TACTTCAGTCTCTGTTCAGTCTTACATCAGTCTCAGTTCAGTCTTACTTCAGTCTCTGTTCAGTTTTACATCGGTCTCAGTTCAGTCTTACATCAGTCTCAGTTCAGTCTTACTTCAGTCTCAGTTCAGTCTTACATCAGTCTTTGTTCAGTCTTACATTAGTCTATCAGCTAACGGGGACGACACAGGGAGGCGGAGTATATGTCTACGTAAACAAAGGTTGGTCCACAAACCGTGTTCTGATAAACAGCTCCTGCTCTGAGGCTTTAGAACTGACTGAAATGTTGACCACATTATTTACCTCATGAGTTTACAGCGGTTATATCATTGTCTATATAGCCCCAGATGCTTATGCTAAAAACGCTCTGTGGGAGCTACATGATATCATCAGCTCACTTCAAAACAAGCATCCAGAGGCTTTTTATGTTGTGGCTGGTGATTTTATTCACGTATATCTGAAATATAATTTGCCAAGATTTTATCAGCATGTGACCATTTCAACATGGGGAAATAACACACTAGACTGTATTTACACCAACATCTGAAACGCATATAAAGCCATACCCCAGTCCCACTTTGGCCTCTCAGAACGCATCTCCATATTTATGGCCCCTGTCTAGCTCCCCTCGATGAGATGTTCCAGACCAATACAGAAAACCATCATCGTGTGGCCCAGCAGAAGTGACCCAGTACTGCAGGACTGTTTTGCAAGAACAGACTGGCAACTCTACAGGGAGGTCACTGTAAATGAGAGAGAACTAGATCTGGAGGAATACACATCTGCTGTCCTCTGATACATCAGCAAGTGTTGTGCTACCCGACCCAGAAACTCTGGCTGAATGCAGAGGTCCATTTCCTGATAGAAGACAGGAATACCGTCTTCAGACCTGGCGACTCACAGGAACTGTGGAGCACAAGGAAAGAGCTGGCTGTTGGTATAAAGAGGGCCAAAGCAATATATGCACAGAAGATCCAGGGACATTTCTCCTCACAGGACGCACGGAGCATGTTGAAGGGCATTAAGTGCATAACAGACTATAAAAGCAGATGTGCACAATGCTCTACGGACCTATCA